ATTTCTCTTCAATTTCCATTCTCATATAGAATTATCATAGAACTTTAGCCACAACAACTCTCATAGACTTTCCTAGTGTCCCTAAAAGCTATCGTTCTTTCACTTTAGCCACAACAACTCCCCTAGACTTTCCTAGTATCCCTAAAAGCTATCGCTCTTTCACTTCAGCCACAACAACTCTCCTAGACCTTCCTAGTACCCTAAAGCTATCGTTCTTTCACTTCAGTCACAACAACTCTCCTAGACTTTCCTAGTGTCCCTAAAAGCTATCGTTCTTTCACTTTAGCCACAACAACTCTCCTAGACCTTCCTAGTATCCCTAAAAGCTATCGTTCTTTCACTTCAGTCACAACAACTCTCCTAGACTTTCCTAGTATCCCTAAAAGCTATGGTTCTTTCACTTTAGCCACAACAACTCTCCTAGACCTTCCTAGTATCCCTAAAAGCTATCGTTCTTTCACTTTAGCCACAACAACTCTCCTAGACCTTCCTAGTATCCCTAAAAGCTATCGTTCTTTCACTTCAGTCACAACAAATAACTTTCCTAATGTTCTTTCTACTAAGAAAAGAACCATAGCTTTTATTGGATCTTTACGGTTAACACCAATTTAGATATTTGGGAGCCAATTTGGCCAACTTGCAGCTCATTTTTAAGTACCTTAAACTTGTCGGATTAGAAAGTTTTAATAAGATTTAGATAGCTTAAAATGTCAACTTTCAGAAATTATTTGTATCATCAAAAGCTATTAACAAAAAACTGTATAAAATCGAGCTGCAAGTTCGTCAAAAAATTGATCCCCGTTGCTAACCGTAAAGGTTCATTTTATTGGGTTATTAAGAAATGTTAGGTTGAGGAAAAAATAATGCGCGGTTTTTTTGGTGTAACAATTAATTCTCCAAGAAATAGCAACTATCGATCACTAAGGTATTCTCCATTTTTATCGATCTTCCCATCTTCTAACCATTGAAGATTGTGCCGAATGGAGTTGCTATCAGGGCCTTTGCTTTATGATAATCGGATATTAGTCTGATATCACTAAGGGATTCCGGATTTGATGACTTCTTTCCATCTTCTAACCATTGACCATATCAACTCCATTGTGCCGAATGGAATTGCTATCAGGGCCTTTGCTTTATGCTAGTCTGATGTCACTAAGGTATTCTCCACTTTTATCGATCTTCCCATCTTCAAACCATTGATGATAGTGCCGAATGGAATTGCTATCAGGGCCTTTGCTTTATGCTAGTCTGATCTCAGTCTGATATCAGTCTCAGTCTGATCTCAGTCTGATATCAGTCCGATATCAATCTAATATCCTTAAAACAGAAAACTAGTTGATCTCTTCAATTTCTGAGATTTCTCCTGTAAAATCGACCAGGTGATTTTGCAAAAAATTCTCCATTTCCAAAGCTATTTATGGGGATTTTTGAGGAAATCTTTTGGAAAATGGCAAAAATTTCGTAAATCTTCGCAAGAGATTCTGAAATTCTCTTCAATTTCTCTTCAATTTCTCTCAATTTCAATTCTCATCTCAAATTTCATTCAAATACGACGCAATTGACTGCTGATTTTTTTTTCTAAATTGTCTTTTTGTCTTTTCTTGTCTTTTTCTCTATTTTCTTGTCTTTTTTCTCTTTTTTCTTTTTTTTCTTCTCTTATCTTCTATTTTTGAATCGAAAACCCAACAATAACATTTAAAATAATAAAATTTTAATTAAAATTTGGTGTTTCGAAAGATTTCCTTAAAGAATTTGATTGTTTTTCAATTGTTTTTCAATTGTTTAATTATTGAACGCTTGGAGAAAATTCAGAGGAGGTTCACAAAAGTCGCTTTATGGAAAATTGACTATTCTAAATATTCTAGCTTTACTTATGAGGAGAGACTTGCTTTTTTTTGAACTAAAAACTTTACAGCATCGTCGCTTTGTCATTGATTTAGTCGAAACTTTCAAAATCCTCCGTTGTAAACAGATTAGCCCTTTTTTTATAGACTTTTTCAAATTTAAACCGCGGTCAGGGCCCAGAAGTGGCTCATTCCTTTTGCAAATTCCCTTTGCTTCCAATGCCTCTTTATCAAATTCATTTCCCGTTAGAGCCGCTTAGAGCCGTTAGAGCCGTTAGAGATTATGGAACTTGCTCCCAAACGACATACGAGAAATTCAGTCGCTTTTCATATTCAAGAAACGTATCGATGCTTTAGATCTAGTGGCTCTTTGCCGTAAGTAATTGGCTTATTGATTTCAGTATGTATTGTATGATTAAGTATCACTGTGCATTTCTCTATCATTTCTTTCACTTTATCGTTTGAATAAAGTATTATTATTATAATTAGTTTTTCTTATCTTTTTCTTATTATTGGGTTGGTGAATCGAAAAACTGCGGGCTATTGTCATATGTGACAGTTTGAGCACTTTCTTCAAAAGAAACCCATTTTGGTGTCAATGGAAAAGTTGTAGAGGATCAAAAATTAAGCTTATATCCAAATTTTCAGAACGATTCAAAAACTCGTTTTCAAGAAATTCCAAATTTACGAATTTTCACAAAACTTGCATTTTAAGCGAATCTACTAAGTGTATCTTTTTGGAAATTTGGCTATAAGCCTAATTTTTGATTCTCTACAACTTTTCCATTCACACCAAAATGGGTTTCTTTTGAAGAAAGTGCTCAAACTGGGCTGACAGCTGACATCTCCAGTCCTCCATTTTTGAGTCTCACACTTCTCTCACACACAAACCAAAATCCTACTACGAAAGAGGAATCCGCAAATTGCCTGTAAAATGGGCAGAATTCGTCAATAATAATGAAAATTATTTGGAATGAATTTATGGTTTTATGTTGAATAAATTTTAGTTCAAAGTCCGGCAGTTTCCAATTCACCAACCCAATAGAATGCATTCTGCTTTGTTTAAACCGTTTTCTAAACGATTTTCTTTCTCTTTCTTCTCTAAACTTGTCCAATCTTTGATAAAAACTATCCATTTCAATATCCTTTCTAAACCAGATCACAAAAAATTGAATAAATTCGATAAAAAGAGACAAGATTACGGTAGAAAGAAGACACAATTTAGAAAAAGCTTCATTTAAATTCATTTCTTTCCAAACTCTTTCAAATCAACACCTTCACGAGAACCAATTTGAGGGTTAAATGAAAAGAATCGTTTCGTTGATTCTCACTTTCACGATTGCCTCTGAGGTGCTCTCTATTCAATGCTGGTACGATAGGAATAATGCCGAGAGTCTATCGGATGAAGTGAGTTCAGAAAATCCTTCAAATACTGCAAATATTGTACAGATACCGGAGTTTTTTCACCGTCTTTTGAAAAGTTTCATAAAAAAGCTACCGTATTCCAATTAGTTTGAAAAATCGAGCAAATTTCAATTCAACTCCCATGCCCAGTTTTCAAGCGCAGTTTCTCAATTTCAAGTTCTATTTCCAGGCAGAACAAGTTGATTGTGCTTGCGGTGATCACTGTTTGTTCACTGGTGACGTAAGTTTTGAATACTTTAAACTAAACAGAAAGCAATCGTACTGTTTATTCATTGGTTACCTAAGTTTTAAATACTTTAAACTAAATTTGCTCAAAGTCTATTGGGTTGTCCAGTTATGAATGTCCGTTTTTACTATTTTGTAAATTTCTCAAGATATATGTATATGAGTATTATATATCATTCGAAAGCTGAAGATCTCCTCTACATTTTGATATAAAAAGCTTTTGAATTCATTCAACTTTTTGGGAAATTGACTGCACAAAGGGAGAGGTCGTTTTCGAAAAAACCCATTTCAGCTATTCCTCAAGTTTTATGGTGTAAAATAACCGCCCAGAAAAGAAAAGAAAAGTAAAGATGCTCTCAAATTCTTATATTTAAAAAAAGTTGTATTAATATATCTATTGGCCAAACAGCAAACGGTTAACTCAATTTGAGAGGAGCCAAAACTTGATCCAAAAGCACCCTTCCATTTTTTGGCCACCTCTTCTTCTCTGCAGTCAATTTTCCCAAAAGCTGGACAAATTCAAAACCTTTTTTTATCAAAATGTAGAGGAGATCTTCAGCTTTCGAATAATACTCATATATATCTTTTTCTTCATTTCGGTATCTTGAGAAATTTACAAAATAGTAAAAGACGCGCATTCATAACTGGACAACCCAATAGAAAAGAAATCGTACTGTTTCTTCATTAGCTACCTAAGTTTTGAGTGCTTTAAACTAAATAGAAAGCAATCGTACTGTTTCTTCACTGGCTACCTAAGTTTTAAATACTTTAAACTAAATAGAAAAGAAATCGTACGGTTTATTCATTGGTTACCTAAGTTTTGAGTGCTTTAAACTAAATAAACCAAAATTCCAGAATTTGACTCCAAGATCAATACGAATTTGTGGTTGTGTGATTACAGAAAGTGGAGAAGAGCATTTATGTCAAGTGGGTTTTGTTTGTTATTGGGAAATTTTGTCTAAAGATTTGTCAAAAAGAACTACTAAAAGATGCGCTCAAAAAAAGAAGCAACCGTATCCTAATTAACTCTTAAATCTAGTCAAGCTTTTTGTCTAAGTCTAGTTAAGCTTTTTCAGTAGAGAAATTTTGTCTAGTGAAAGCATAGAAACAGTTAAAGTAGGCTGGATTTAGACTATGCTGATCGTTTTCTAAAAAATGCTTTCCAGAAAAGCTACCGTACTCGGTTTACTAATAGTCTTTTAAGACAGTTTTCCAATATCCAATCTTTTACAGCACGATGAGCAAAGTATCCACGAAGATGGCTATTTCAAGTGTTGTCAAGGTGATCTCTGCAACACAAACTTGTAAAGATCGATTTCATCTCAAATTTTCGATAAATCGTTGATTATTTTGAAACCTTTTTATGCTAAAGATTGAAAGGTATATAAGGAGAAGTAAGTAGTTAAAAATATAATTTAATAACCTCATTTATTAGGTTGGTAAAAAAGAAATGCGCGTTTTCGTTAAAAGTTTATTTTATTATAAAAACAAGATAACAATACATTAATCCAAAAGGTATTCGCCATCTGCATCAATGACTTGTCGCCAACGTTCACGCAGAGAATGGATGTCCTTCTTGAAGAACTCGACTGGCTGCGACTCGAAGAAGTTGGACACCCAAATTTGGACCTCGTCGCGGTTCTTGAACTTTTTCTCTGCCAAGGAGTGGTGCATTGATCGGAACAGATGGTAGTCGGAAGGCGCCAAGTCTGGGCTGTATGGCGGATGAGGCAGGACTTCCCAGCCCATTTCTTCAATTTTCTGCTGGATGATTTTTGCGACATGCGGCCGAGCGTTGTCGTGGAGGAATTTTGTCGACACCATATCCACACCTTGACGTCGCAGCGCCTGGTCCACGCGGTCCAATTGGCCTTGGTAGAGGTTCGCCGTAACTGTTTGACCCGAATCCAGAACCTCAAAATACACCAGGCCTTTACTGTTCCACCAAACACAAAGCATCACCTTTTTTCCGTGGATGTCCGGTTTTGGAGTCGGTTTTGGAGCTTTTTCCGTCAAAACCAATTGGTCGATATAGCTGAAGGCGAGTGATTTCGAATTTTGGAATTTTCTCAAACACTTGAAGCGATTTGTTCTTCTAAATTTTTCGAATTTAAAAGTTTCAAAGTATTTCTTAAATCGTAGCCTTTAGAATAGCCATCGTATTTCTTCTAGAAAGCTTTTTCTTTTAGAAAACTTCTAACAAAAATTTACCTAGAAATTAGAAATAAAACAAAAATAGAAAACTCTACCTGAATCTCAGTCAGCAATTTTAACACTTGAGATGCGGGTCGCCGAAACCCTCCATCGAAATGAGTGCAACTAAACTTGAGCTCGTTTATGTTTAAAAAACTTTTATGCCAACTTCTCGACGATCTCAGCCAATTCCTGGAAACCGGGACACTTCGGAGTTTCGAGTGGAGCGAGATTTCCCATGGGAGCGTCAGCGCTGAACTCGTGCTGGTTAAAGGGACCATCACCGACTTGATACTCGGAAAACACCAATCTAATAAAAAAAAACTGGATAACTTTATAAACATATCTAACTTTCTTACGATCATCTCCCAAACGACAAGCCCGAGCGAGTAGACATCGTTGAGATGAGAATTCTAAACTGATGATTAGCTAGTGAGCTTGCTCTAAGCTGATTGGCCACCTGGACATTAGCCTCTCAATCTTTTTCATAGAATTATCAGATCTGTAAGATTTTGGTATCATTGAAACCCGGGATCGAATGACACTCGTTGTAAGCATTCAGATCTGACATTCGGATTGAACTAATGTTTGGAGTTCTAATGTCCTTCGTTCCGTTGCACTGACTTTTAAATGGTCGTCCGTTTTTGCTGGTGGCGGAAGATATCGAGGAGTGCCGGTCACCGATCTTGACTTTGATTCTTCACCCTTGATGATACTTCTCCCGAAATCCCCAATCTTCAAGACAAAGTGCTCGTCAACGAAAATGCTAAAGATTGAGTGATCTTGTTGTTGCTAATTTCTAAAGATTATAAAGCTTATTAACCTAGAACTCAAGAAAAATAGCCGACTTGCACGGTTTCAAATCTCGGTGTACTCCTCGCTTGCTCCAGAAGTATACCAAGCCCTCGAAAAGTCCGGTCGCCCAAACGAGCACCGTTCGAATCGAGTCGGTGTATTGGGCATTGTACAAAACTGGAAGCGCCTATCTGGAAATTATTCAAGTGAAAACCAATAATATATAATTTAATTAATAATAATTTGATAATTTCCCCCGTTCACAGTACTCCATGAATATTCCATGTTTTATGCTGTCATCAATCCACTCAGGAGTCAATCCCTTTTGGGTGAGTCTTACTGGCTTAAGTTATAGCCATTTGAATTTCGAAAAAATCAAGGCTTTTCTCGAATTTCTGGCACACTGATTTTTGCCGGCGGAAAGGCCTTTTTTACGCCATCTTAAAAGCCAGCTCGTAGCCTAGTGGTTAGTGTGCCTGCGCTCGGAAACTATTGATCTTGGTTCGAGTCCACTAGCAGTCAAACTTTTTGCAGACATTTGAATTTTTTCGTTGTTGTTTATTATACCGAAGTTGGACAATAAGTGATTGGGCTGGGTTGGCTTGAATTTAAGACGATAGCTTTTCAAAGAGATCTTTCAGAAAATGGTTTAATTAAAAGGTATACAAGGTTACAGTGGTTTTTTTGAAAGTTTCCATTTTTTAGAAAAAGCTCTAATCGAGAGTAAAAGAGTTTCTTCTTCACGTCAACAATCTATCACATCATTACCCTCATTTCCCACACACAATCCATTCGATTTGAGAATCTGTGAGAGGATTTCCCCCCAATTCAACAATGACCTTGTCCCTTTATTTTCCAAAGAGAATAATGGGTGATTCACCCTGGTGAGAACTCGCAAGGATTCATTTTAGAGACAACAACAATTTGAGAGAAATAGAGAAAACCAAGCCTACCTTTTCCCCTTTCCCATCTCAATACAAACATTTCTTTTCTTTTCCATTTCTTACCTAAGTCGTTTTAAAATTTACCTGTACTTTGGATTTAAAATTTACCTGTACTCATTTTGTTTCTATTTCTTGATTTTGTAAAACTTTACTCGACTTAGTAAAGCTCAGTTACAGCTACAACTACAAAAGCTGCTTGATGCAACTGCAAAAGCTGCTTAGGTACTTGTTGACAAGTTCTTGCATGACTAATGCTTGGTAAAGTTTGCCAAAATCAAGGTCAACATCGAAAATTTCGCAAGGATCTACGTTGCTTGCTTGAAAGCTTAAAACTATGCGTTTCTTTTTACCCAAACGACTGTCAACTCTCTTGATAATACAGTGAACAATAGCTGTTTTTACTAAAACTTCAATGATATCCATTTAAATACTAAAACATTTAAATAATAGTTTCAGTAACTAACGACAAATTAAATCTACTATATAATTGAAGGCTGTCCTTTTTCCTTTACAATGTAATTGAAGGCTGTCCGTCCGTGTGCACGAAAATTTTTCGAGGCGTCGAGGAGTAGCCGATGGGATAGTTGATCTCCAGATTCGTGGATCGTGGGTTCGGATCCAGTGAGATCTTTTTTTGCTTTTTTGTTATTCAATGAAAGAAGTTATCTTTGCTATGAATTATATACCGTATTCTCTCTAATAGTAGTGCACTTTGCGCCTTACCTAAATTCCTCGAAATCTCGAGAACCGCTTATCAGAACCTATCGATGTGGGGTCGGAAAATGTAGCTGACGATGAGATCTAGTGGGGGATTAGAGTGCTGAGCTTCTGGGAAAACTTAGAAACCGTAAAATAGTCACCAACTCGGCTCGGCCCGGGTGCACTACTATTCGAGAAAATACGGCAAATGGATTCAAAATTCTTCAAGCTCAATCAAGCAAGGCTTTTGCCTTTTGCCAGAGAGCCTTTTGACTTGAATCTAGTGCGCCAGAATACCGTATTCTCTCTAATAGTAGCGCACCTTGATCGTCGTCTAAATTCCTCGAAATCTCGAGAACCGCTTATCAGAGCCTATCGATGTGGGGTCGGAAAATGTAGCTGACGATGAGATCTAGTGAGGGATTTGAGTGTTGAGCTTCTGGGAAGAGTTAGAAACCGTAAAATAGTCATCAACTCAGCTCGGCCCGGTGCACTACTATTAGAGAGAATACGGTAATTGTAAAATGTTCGTCTGTCAGAAAAAATCAGGGAATGGGTTTCTCGGGCTGAAAATTGATACCCAGGCACTTTCGACTCTTCATGCTGAATCTAAAGTCAGATTTGAGGCCTATTTGCAAGTTCGTAAACGGGTTTGACCAAACGGAGTGTGGCGTGGTCGCTACTCAGCGCTTGGCCTCAGTTGACCAATCTCGATGTACGCTATATTTTTGAATCAGACAATTTATATATAGAAAATTTCTCAGTGCGCCTGGTCATTCAATTTTAAAGCTTTAAATTTTTAAAAAGTCATAAACTTAACTCAAAACAGACTCAAAACAGGACAATTAGTTCAGAAATTTTTTTAAAAAACTTTTTATATCCGAATTTTCTCTTTCATCAAAACTTGTCATTTCCAAGAAACTGATAACTTGATTAGTTCTAGTTTTGTTGCATAAGCCATGATCTAGCTTTTGTTAAACACAATCAAAATCTAGTATTCTTATGATTCGCCTTTTAAAATCACTCAAGAATTCTAGATCTTCACACCTTTTCACCTTCTTCCTTTTCTCTTTCCCTTCTATCTTCTTCCTTTTCCTTTTCCCTTCAGAATCCCCAGTGTTTACAATGCTTATCACGTCTCACAAAACCCATTTTTTCCTTTATTTTTTTCTTTTCCCTTCCCTGAACATTTTTTATTTCCTAGCTTTGCCAATTTTCCCCCATTTCTCTCAAAGGAAATTCTTCAAAAATCGATGTTTTTCACTGATTGCTCACCTTATTGACTCATCCAATTGTTCTCTCGCCTTAAAACTTGCAAAATACAGCCTCTTTCCGAAAACTCTTTCCAGCTTGGCCTGTTGTGCTTGTCAACAGAAGGCTCAGCTAGTTGTTAACAGAAGGCTCAGCTAGTTGTCACTATAAGGCTCTGCTTGTGAAGGCCTGTTGTTAACAGAGGCTCAGCTAGTTGTCCTATAAGGCTCTGCTTGCAACAGAAGGCCAGCTGTGTACAAAAGGCTCAGAGTTGCACTATAAGGCCTTTGCGGGCCTGCAACAGAAGGCTCAGCTTGGCACAGGGCCGCTGGGGGCCTGCCGCCGAAGACTCTTTTTCCTAGCAAAATACATGCAAAAATTATAAAAAATCAATTTTAAAGAATTCTTTAACAATTTTCTTTAACAACTTCTGTTTTTTCATTACAAAAACCTTTTGGTTTTGATTTTTATTTAAAAACATTTCATTATACTACACAAGCTTAAAGCTTGTGACGAGCCAATTGTTGAGCTTTTAAGCTTTGTTTATATAATAAATATTATACATCAAAATATTTCCATATTTCTCGTAGAATTTATATTTCAAAACAAAAAAAAACCCGTTTCTCTAAGATCTTTTTCAAAAATTTCGAATTCAGCTGCTTCAGATTTAGGTAAAACGATAAAATGATGAATGATAATCGAAAATCACCTTCTCGACGCGGTATTATGTTTTTTGTGGCACTAATGGTCTTCATCATTGGAATCCAGGTCAGAAAGCTAATTTTTAAAACGGAAAAAATAATAGACGACTGTGTTTAATAAAGATTGTAGTTGAGCAAATTATGCGCAACTTTAGAATAAAAACTAACGTTCTTATTTGTTACTGTCCATGTCTAGCAAAGGATAATCAACTTTGGAATCAGACGAAACTTGATTCTAACAGAAAGAAAGAAACAGAAAGAAAATGGAAAACAGAAAGCAACGCAAAATAGAAGCAGAGCTTTCACTTGTATTTTGTGCATTGTAGATGTAAAGTGTTAATTTAATCTGGAAGCCCGATTAGTCGAATCGGATCGGATCAGGTTAGCCCGCTCAGTTGGATGGATCGGATCGGACCGGATCGGATGGGGCTAGCCCGATCGGTCGGATGAATCGGATGGATCGGATCGGATCAGGCTAGCCTGATCAGTCGGATGGATCGGATCGGACCGAATCAGATCGGGCTAGCCCGATTAGTTGGATGGGTCGGATGGATCGGATCGAATCGGATCAGGCTAGCCCGATCGGTTGGACGGATCGGATCGCATCGGTTCAGGCTAGCTCAGGCTAGCCCGGTCGGTTGAACGGATCGGATCGGCCCTGAAAAACCCGATCCGATCCAATCCGATCCTATCCAATAACCATATCTACGAAGCAATCCCCAAACTCTCCCAAATTTCCAGGGAACCTATCTCGGCTATGTTGTCGGGGTGTTGACAACTCTAGAGAAAAGATTCGGGTTCACGAGTGAGAAAACGGGGTTTCTTCTCTCATCTTATGATCTCGGACACACGATTGCGATTCTTTTGGCTGGATATTTTGGATCAAAAGGACATTTACCGAGAATCACTGGAGCTGGTAAAGTTTTCTATAGCTTTCGATCTTTCAAAATCTGTTGTTGTTGTTGTTAAAATCTGTTGTTTGGGTTAAAAGCGTGCATTTTGTTCTAGGTGTTTTTCTGAGCGGCCTTAGCATGCTCCTTTTGGTGCTTCCAGCTGCAATCTTTCAATTGAGTGAATCCGAATCAGAGAAAGATCTCAAATTGGTGAGCTACTTTCTAAACTGTGTTCTCTTTCCTTTCTGCCGTAATCTTGTCTATTTTATTCATTATTGTATCTTATTTGATGTGCTTTTTGAACGAGGGAATTTCAGGAGCGTTATTCTCGTAACTTCAAATGCAATGCTGATCGTTATGAGTCAAGTGAAAGTAAGAGAATTTAAAAATAACCAAACAAAATCTTTAAATCCTCAGCTCAAAACTGTGAAGATGAACACGAGGAGCATTTGTGGGCATTCATTCTCTTATTGATCGGTCAATTCTTTGCCGGTGTATTCGCGGCTCCATTCAACACCCTAGCCTACGTTTATATTGATAACAATGTGGAAGATCGGAGGCAATCACCGTTTTTATTGGGTAAACGATTCTTAGTAGCAATCCACAATAGCAAATGGACTTTGTGCTGAAATCTGTAAATCTGTAAATGCACATTTCTGGTGAACCGGATCCTGCACCGATTAAGCAACGAAATCGTTTAAAACAATGAAGAATTTAGTGCACCAGAAGGTTTATGTTTACACGTGAAAACAGTATACTTTGCCTACAATACATTCAAAGCTGTGTGCCAGAAAATAAGCGTTTATATTTGCAGGTCTTTTGACAAGTATGTATGCTTTTGGACCAGCGTTGGGCTTCGGACTTTCAGCGCTAACAACAAGGATCTACACGACTTTAGATGAAGGTACAGTAAACTACAGTATGCCGGAACCTTGTCACGTCTAGTTTCTAGATACAACAAGCTACAGTAGCCTTGTTTCGTCTAGTTTCTAGATACAAGCTACAGTAGCCTGATACGTCTAATTTCTAGATACAACAACCTACAGTACCCTTGTTACCTCTATTTTCTAGATAGAACAAGCTACAGTAGCCTGCTACGTCTAGTTTCTAGATACAGGCTACCGTAGCCTGTTACGTCTGGTTTCTGGATACAACAAGCTACAGTACCCTTCTTACGTCTATTTCCAGCTCCACATCATATCTCGAAATATTCAACTGATTGGATTGGTGCCTGGTGGGCGGGTTTTCTTGTCTGCGGTTTCCTCTACCTCGTCTCGGCTGTGCCATTCTTTTTCTTCCCAAAATCTTACAATTCACAAGAGGTACTGGAAAAAGATAGGAATTTTACATTGAAGTTTAAAGGGTGTCGAAATGCATCCCCTCAAACATCCCCATCTTCCACCAGGCACAATAACAGATGAACCAAAGACAAGCTGGCAGAGCTTCGTTGAGAAGTGTCGAGGTAATTTGTTTGAAGTAACTCCAGAAAGAGAAAATCATCCTATTGTTTTAACACAATTTGAGCTTACAGTCGCGTAGTTTTTAACTGTTTTACTGATAATTTGGTGAAGTTAAGCTAATAAAAAAGATACATTTATTGAAAACGAATAATGTGATACAAAAAATGGATACATAATAAGACAGGTAGACACAATTTTATAGCACCGAGGCCGTCGTTACCCTTTTTACCCCTATTACCCAAATGTTGTGAAAGAAAAAACCCACTTGGGTGAGTAAAAGAAAGATTTTAATCTTGCAAGCGTGATTGATCCCTCGACCTTTCGCTTAAGAGACTCCAAGACTTTCGCAAGACTCCTAACCGGTCGATCATCTGGCCCAGATTATACAGGGTGACCAGGAATTACCGCATCACATAAAAGGCCTGGCTTTTTACCAAATTGACCATTAACCAAAGCAACCCATCCCATCCCATTTTCTGTGCTCGAGCCGATTGGCTTTCCTCGAGCCGATTGGTTAGGGTTTAATCTTAGACGATCGCGCATTTTCTTGACATTAGCCGGAGTAGCCACTGTTCGTTTTGCACCTCTTCCAGGGCAATCAGAAACTTTGCCTAGAGTTTGATAACGTTGAATGGTTCGAGAAACAGGCTTCTGGGGACATTCAGGCGCTTGGAGATCTCGCTCGCCTAAACAGCCGCCTGAACACGCTGCCGCTTGAGCTCAAGGATCAATTGTCGATGTGGAGACGCTTTGACCATTCCTGAAAACAACTAATGTATTGAAAGTTAGTAATCATACAATAAAATAGGAAAAATACACAAAAACCATAAAAACAGGTAAGCAAAAAGTGAAATTGGGCTCATAACATAATACGACGTTGTTGCGGTAATTCTTAATCACCTTGTATAATGATTTGATAGCGCTGAATCTTCTCTTGAAAACTAGTACAAAGTTACTGAGAACTTTTTGCAAAATGAGTAATAAAAAGCCGGAAAAACTTGAGTTGAAACCAGAAATCATGACATTAGTAAGGCCTATCGGTGAGCCGTATCTTCATGAAGGTCCAAAGTGTATTTGTGAAGGTCCAAAGCTCTAAAGCTGATCGCTCTAAATCCTTTCTATCATTCTAAACTCATCTATCTTTCAGAATTTCCTTACGTGGTCCTCGATCTATGCAAGAATCCCGTCTTCACCTCAATGGTTGTTGGATGGACATTTGGTAAGTCGAATTTCAACTCTACAACTGGATTTCAGGGTCAGAGCTTTACAAAAAGATGATTTTCTCAAAAATCAAAACATTTGACATTCTTTGTTTAGATATTTAAAGGCTACAAACATTTTTTTTCCTAGATTTATTGGAAATGAAAATTGAGGGATTTCAATGAAAGCTTGAATGTGAAAGAATAAAGAATAGAATAGTGTAGAAAGGATAAAGAAAAATCGATTTAGATTTTTAGATAATAAACCTTACTTGGTACTAATTTTGAATGTGAAATTGAGAGAATATTCTGAAATCGGAAATAAACCATCAAAACAAAGGAAGTCTGATCCAGACCTGACCATTGATAGACCCAGGGTCAGGCCACACAACGACTTGTTCTTGATCTGATCTTGGCATTAGTAAAAAACCAAAGCAATAATCAAATTGTATTATTTTTTGATTCGAATCTCAGGTTCATATCTGGTGGCTGGTTACACGACTTTCCTTCCTAAATACATTGAAACACAATATGGAAAGAGTGCGAGTGCAGCCGATTTCTATTCAGGTAATAAATGATAGGTTAGAAGGTATTGGATTAAATTGAATTTTGAAGGATAAAATGATAGTTAAAGGCTTTCTGAAAGATAATATTTGAATTTTGGAGGAGATGATGATAGTTTGGAAGGTATTCTGATGGATTAAATTGAATTTTGAAGGATAAAATGATAGTTGAAAGCTATTCTGAAGGATTAAATTGAATTTTGAAGAATAAGATGATAGTTGAAAGCTATTGTGATGGATTAAATTGAATTTTGAAGGATAAAATGATAGTTGAAAGCTATTCTGAAGGATTAAAGTTAAATTTTGAAGGAGATAATGATAGTTGAAGGCTATTCTGAAGGATTGAATTGAATTTTGAAGGAGATAATGGTAATTGAAAGCTATTCTGATGGATAAAAGTTGAATTTTGAAGGAAAAGATTACAGTTGAAGGCTATTCTGATGGATTAAATTGAATTTTGAAGGATAAGATGATAGTTGAAGGCTTTTCTGGAGGATAAAAGTTGAATTTTAAAGGATAAGATGATAGTTTGGAAGATATTCTGATGAATTAAATTGGATTTTAAAGGAGATAATGATAGTTGAAAGCTATTCTGATGGATAAAAGTTCAATTTTGAAGAATCTTCGGTTTTTTATTGAACTATTAAGGCATAATATCCGTTGGTTCAATCGCTATCTCGACAGCACTTGGCGGCTGGTTGTTGACTCGTTTCGATATTGGCCCAAGAAAGGGGATACTGTTGTTAATCGCATCATGGGTAATTTGCATGATTACTTTTCGAATATCAATCAATTTTCATAATTTTTCAGTTCTGTATCGTGGCTGCTTACGTAGCCGGGACATTTGTCGGTTGTGAACAAGCAAAGATCAGTGGTTTGCACTATAAAGAAACGACAACGTAAGGAAAATGATTTTCATTTCAATTTCGCTTCAGATCCAGGAGCTTTCTCTCATTTTTCGATGCCTATTCTCAGCCTTGTTCCGAAAAATGTCGTTGTTCAACTATTATGCATTTTGATCCAGTTAACTACGATGGAGAGAATTTCTATTCACCTTGTCACGCCGGATGTACAGCTTATCATCCATTCACGAATCGGGTAAAGACATTAATGACAGCCGTACAGTCGCGTAGTTTAACTTTTAATGAAGAAGAGGCAAGAGAGGCAAGTAGAGGCTCCGGGGTCCAGCCCACCCCAATTTTCTGCACTGCTTTAAGCTACAGTATGCGCTTTGGTGTCAAATGATAGGCCTTAAAGTATTTTCTCTAGTTTTTTGGCTCCTAGATTTTTCTCAAAAGTATTTGGGAACAATCTAGAAGCTGAGAAAAAAGAAAAGCTCGATTTTCTAAAAATAAGTTAAACAAGTTATGATGTTCTATTAGAGTATTCTCTCTAATAGTAGTGCACCAAGAGCGTCGTCTAAATTCCTCGAAATCTCGAGAACCGCTTATCAGAACCTATCGATGTGGGGTCGGAAAATGTAGCTGACGATGAGATCTTGGGAGGGATTAGAGTGTTGAGCTTCTGGGAAAACTTCGAAACCGTAAAATAGTCACCAACTCGGCTTGGCGGGGTGCACTACTATTAGAGAAAATACGGTTAATAATAGTAGTGTACCCGGGTGAGCCGAGTTGGTGACTATTTTACGGCTTCCAAGCTTTTGCAGAGGCTCAACACTCTAATCCTCCACTAGATCTCAGCGTCAGCTACATTTTCCAACCCCACATCGATAGGTTCTGATAAGTGAGTCTCGAGATTTTCGAGAATTTTAGTGCACTCTGAGCCTTACCTAAATTCCTCGAAATCTCGAGAACCGCTTATCAGAACTTATCGATGTGGGGTTGGAAAATGTAGCTGACAATGAGATCTAGTGGAAGATTAGAGTGTTGAGCTTCTGGGAAAACCTTGGAAGCCGCAAGATAGTCATTAACTCGGCTCAGCCAGGTGCTTGATTGGCCAGGAGCCAGAAGCCAAAAGCCGAACTTTGCCTGCCTTACTGTTACCGTTTTTTCTCTAATAGTAGTTCTAACTGTTAGAGAAAATACGGTATTTGAAAACAAATCAAGACTTCAACAATCTTCAATTCAATTTCAGTGGACAAGTTGTGAATGCGTTGGCGGGAAAGATGTGGACAGTGGGATAGCCCATCCTCAATGCAATGATTTCATTTGGTATATGGTTATCATTTTTGTTGGACTCTTTGCCGGCAATCTCTTCTTTATGGTTACAATGATGATTGTTTTAAGGTAAACAGCTAAAAGAGAGAAACGGCATTGAAATGCTTGGTGTAATTAGTGATAATTTAAGAAAGAGCTCTTGGCTAGACTCAGCATTTTACTCTACTTAGTTATTTTCTTGTTTGAAGTAATCTTTTCTCTCTCAACTGTATTTTGAATCTGTAAAACAATCGCAACTTTATAACGAATTGTCGACGAGTTGGAAGTTGAGCTAATTAGACAACTTTTACAATTACTATACAAGCAAGAGGCAATAGAAAAAGAAATTTTACAACAATTAACTTGCAATTATTCAAAAGAAGACTAGAGAGCAATAAATTTGACAGCTTAAATGGGGGAAAAGTCTAAGCAAAGATGATTGAGGGATTTAAAATGACGTAATTTGAATAAAATAGCTATTCGCCACAGGTAAACGAAAGAGAAACTGGTTCAAATCCAGTGCTAACCATTCTTTTCCAACTCCTAAATTCTCTACCATTTTCAGATCCGTTTATGATGATCAAAAAGTGATCGCATTATCATTTGCCTCATTTTTCACAAACCTTCTCGGTTTCATCCCGGCTCCAATCTTTCTTGGGTGGATAGTTGATAGAGCCTGCATTTTGTGGAGAAGTCGATGCCCGGATGGTTAGAGTTTAAAGAGAAATATACTGCAATTATCAGTCTGAGAATTGGTTTGGCTAGTACAGATCTAGTAAATGCTACATACTAACCAGCTCCGGCTTACAGATCCAGTCTAGGTACAGTACAAAGATCTAGCTATAGATTTATTGGGTTTAGAACCACAGCTCTGGAATACCGTAGTCCAGAACTATCGTAGTCTAGAACTATCGTAGTCCAAAACTATCGTAGTCCAGAACTATCGTAGTCCAGAACTATCATAGTCCAGAACTATCGTAGTCCAGAACTCCCGTAGTCCAGACCTATCGTAGTCCAGAACTATCGTAGTCCAGAACTATCGTAGTCCGGAACTACCGTAGTCCGGAACTACCGTAGTCCAGAACTACCGTAGTCCAGAACTCCCGTAGTCCAGAACTCCCGTAGTCCAGAACTACCGTAGTCCAGAACTCCCGTAGTCCAGAACTACCGTAGTCCAGAACTACCGTAGTCCAGAACTACCGTAGTCCAGAACTCCCGCAGTCCAGAACTTCCCTAGTCGAGAACTAGGGTAATAATTAATACAGTACACGATACCGTAACCCAAAACCGTAATTCCAGACGGCGGCAATTGTGTACTCTACGATAACGGGGATCTCCGGACGACATTCCATCTATCGTGTG